GCCCCCTTTCCCACACTTTTAAAAACACTTCTAATGTTCATGACCATTTTCTAAACTCATAAACCTATGTAATTTTAACAACATACGTATACTGTTTGGTATTGCAAAATCCTGCAAAATAGTGAAAAATCTACGATAAATAATTAGATTAATATTTTTTGAAAACCCGTGAAACAGTGAGTCAGTGAAAGGCGAACCACAGAACAGCAGGGACTACAGTATTTTGTTTTATTTTTGAGACAGGTCTTACATATTTCTGAGACTACCTCAGACTCAGCTCCTGAGGAGGTGCCCTGCAGGTGTGTGCCCCATAGGTAGCTTACTAGATAGTTTTGGAAGTTATCTCTGACTCTTAGGCATTAAGTACATTTCTTTTTAGGTTTTTTGAGACAAAGTTTTGCTCTAATGCAGACTGGGTTTGAACTTGCTGTGTAACCCAGGCTGACCTTACAGGCTGACCTGCTGAACTCTCAGCTCTTAAGTACATTTTCTTTATCCATATCTTTAAAATGTTACTAACTTCAGAAGTCTTACTTCCACATGATTTTTTTTTTTTTTTGGAAGGGTCTTGGTATATAGGCCAGACCAGCCTCAAACTTGAAGCAATCCTGCCTTGGCTTTCTGAGTGCTGGGAGTGCAGTGTGTGCCTACTTGCCACCATGCATAGGCCTCAGGATTCTTATTATTCAGTGGCTGGGTGGCTGGCTGACTTTCTTTCTTTTTTTTTTTTCCTGTCTTTTGGTACTGGGGAGTCAACCCAGGCCCTTAGCACTGAACTACTTCCTTAGCCCTTCACAACTTTCACCACATGCATCATGACCTTGTTAAAGAGTGTACTTGGGTAATTTTTATTTTATCCACAGAGTTCCGTGAGCACTACTTCCCACTGTGTGACTTCTGGACATTTCCATCACCCCCAAAAGCAGTCTGCAGACTGCAGCTCAGCCTTCAGCCACTGTCAGCACCTACCTCTGCTGTCTCTGGATTTGCTTATTTTATGGATTTCCATGTCAGTGGGATCCTCTGATACTTGGTCTTTTGTAGCTGGCTCCTCTATTTCACATAATGTTCTCAAGGAATATCTATGTCTTAACAGTACATCTACTGTTTTTCTGGCCACCAGATTCCTTTGTGTATCTTAAGTAGTTAATTCTTTTCCAACTTTTTTTTTTTTTTTTTAACTTATTTGGTTGTTACAGGGTCTCACTACACAGCTCCTCCTGTTTTCAGCCTTCCCAGCACTGGGATTATAGGTGTACACCACTATGCCCAACTCTGTGGTGTGTTCCACCCACCCTGGCAGCGGGCTGGCACAGCTGTGGTGCCGTGGGGTCAAACCGCAGTCCCTGTGCTTGCCTAAGCAGGTGCTTTAGTCCACTGAGCTATGTTGCCAGCCCCCAAGATTTTTTGTAGGCAGTTTAGTTTTTTAAGTTTCAATTCTGTGGTTTATTCCTGATGCCAGAGTGCAGCCCTGTGTGGAGCTCCCAAGCAGTGCTTAGCATTTTTCTTGCAGTGCTCATTGTTTTCTCATGCTGGCTGTCTAAAACTTCAGCTGCTGTCTGAGTGGCTGTATCAGCTTTCATCATTTTAGGCACATAGGGAATATGGATTCATAATTTAAGGCATCCATAGTTTTCACTAGCTTTATCTTGTTTTATGAGGGACTCTTCCTATAATAATTGGTTATCATTTGACAACTTTGCTGGGTGTGGTGGCACATACCTGTAATCTTAGCAAGGGAGGCTGAGGCAGGAGGATCATTATGAGTTCTAGGCCAGCTTAGGCAACAAAGTGTGTTATTGGCCAACCTAAACTGCATAGTGAGACCCTGTCTCATAAAAATAAAAAAAAAAATTAAGAAAACTTTCTCCAACATCTTTTTTTTTTTTGAGATGGGGTTTCATTGTGTGGTTCAGGCTGGGCTGGCATAATATTCATTATGTAGTTCAAAGTGACCTCAAACTCCTGCCTAAGCTTCCCAAGTGCTGGGATTATAAGTGTGCTACCACACTTGGTACAAGCAGCCTTTCAAACCAGTAAAAATCTGTAACCTTTTTTTTTTTTTGGCGGAACCAGGGATTGAACTCAGGCCCTTGTGCTTGCCAGGGAAGCACTTATTCTACTGAGCCATCTCCCTGACAAAATTGTAATCTTTAGGCTGTTTTTACTAAATAATAACTCAAGTCTTTTTTTATTCTTCAGGATGTTAGTCAACCAAGCATACAATCAGCTCTGGGGATGAACTTCCCCAGGGAGTCTGAGCCCCCCACCTGCAGCAGAACAGATGACACTCGAAAGGCTGAGTATTTGGATGTCAGCATCGGGCAGGTAACCATCTTGATTCCCTTGCCTTCGCACAGGTGCAGGTGGGACCAGATGTGCCTCTGCTATTAGTGAGAGCTGTTTATGTTTTCTTCCTGCAGGTGTCTGTAAAGTACCCCCGGCTCATCTACAAACCAGAAATATTTTTTGCCTTTGGCTCGCCAATTGGGATGTTCCTTACTGTCCGAGGGCTAAAGAGAATTGATCCCAATTACAAATTTCCAACGTGCAAAGGTTTCTTCAATATTTATCATCCAGTAAGCATTGTTCAAATGTGATTTTTCCTGAATATTGGGCCTGTTGGTAAAGATTTGCTTTCTTCTGTAGTATTCTCTAGTAGTGAATTTCTTCTTCTTCTTCTTCTTCTTCTTCTTCTTCTTCTTCTTCTTATTATTATTATTATTATTATTATTATGATATTTTTTATTTGTATCATGGATTAAATTCAGGACCTTACATTTGCCAGGCAGGCGCCTATGCTACTGAGCTATCTCCCATGCCCAGTGAGAGAACTTACTGTTATGAGCATGTTGATCTGAAATTGATGGAGCAGAACAGCTGTACTTGCTTTTGAATGGATTTATATTATTCTTGCCTAGGATGCACAGTTGTTCAGACTGTCTTTCTTTAGCAGGGAAAAATAGAGCTATTATTTTTCCTGTGTAGTTTGATCCTGTGGCCTATCGGATTGAACCAATGGTAGTTCCAGGATTGGAGTTTGAGCCAATGCTGATCCCACATCATAAAGGCAGGAAGCGGATGCACTTAGGCAAGTCTGTGTATGAAATTTGGTCATTTTAGACCTTAGCTGGTACAACCTGAATGGACCTCATTGATTCTTTCTTGCTCTGATGGACCCTACATGACATGTGAATCAACAACATGTTCTGTTTATATGTGTTGCAGAACTGAGAGAGGGCCTGACCAGGATGAGTATGGACCTGAAGAACAACTTGCTGGGGTCACTGCGGATGGCCTGGAAGTCTTTCACCAGAGCACCTTACCCTGCCTTACAGGTGGCAGAGACCACAGAAGAAGTTGAAGTAGAGGCTGAGTCCAGTTCAGAGAAGGCCAGTGGTCAGTGCCTTAGGCTGGGAGAGGAGGCTCTTACTGCCTTGGGGCCTCCTGCCACCTTACTGTGAGGGCCTGGTCCCTTGGGTCCCAACTCAGCTGCCCTCTGTGGAGCAGTTCTGTCCTGTTAATAGTTATGAATTATTTAGGATGCCTGAGGTAAATGTCCAAGAAAGCTGATCATGAGGCTTGAAAAAGAAGCTGATTGCGAGAGCCAACCTATACCCATCTTGCATTCATTCACAGGAGGAGTAGCTTCTGCAGGTCAGCTTTATTTTCCTAGTGAGGACTCCACTCAGTTCCATCTAGTTTTCAGTTTCCTGAAAAGCTGTCTCTTGCTTGCCCTTAGGCCCTTAGTGTTTTTTTTTTTTTTTTGTACCAGGGACTGAACTTACAGCTTTGTGTTTGCCAGGCAGGTGCTTATGCCACTGAGCAATTGCCCTAGCCCCAGGTTTTTGTTTGTTTGTTTGTTTGTTTTTGGTTTTGGGTTTTTTTTTTTTGTTTTGTTTTGTTTTTGTTTTCCTTTTGGTACCAGGGACCGAACTCAGGACCTCACGCTTGCCAGGCAGGTGATTATGCTGTTGAGCTATCTCCTTGGTCCTTGCTTTTGGTTTCTAACCTTGAGACAGTGACTGAGCTCTCAAAGGTACAGGTAATGAGCTGTGCTGAGTAAAAAAAGACAAGGGATTGGGCAGTACTAGTGTGACTGAGCGCTCTGATGAGTTGAGAGGAAGAGGTGTGAGAGCAGCTGAGAAGTGTGGGTGAGGGACTGATAGGTGGGTGACAGGATGCTGAGCCTCAGGCTGCTCAGCTCTGACATGGCCCTCCTGTCCCCCTCCCTGTAGATGGCAGCACTGAGGCCTCAGCTGCACAGGATGAGGCACCTGTGAGCATCAGTGTGGGCCTGCTTAATGGAGGCCGGCGCATCGACTATGTGCTGCAGGAAAAACCCATTGAGAGCTTCAATGAGTACTTATTCGCTCTGCAGAGTCATCTCTGCTACTGGTAGGTGGTGTGTGGTTCTGTTTGCTTCATAAAAAATTGATACAGAGAAAAGAGGATGCACAAAATAAAGAATAGAAGAGGCCTATAGATGGTGCTCAGTGCAGAGTGATCCCCTCAGTTTGATCCCTAGTGCTAGCTCCCTGCCCCACACACAAATGCACGCTGGTTTAAATACTATTTGATTTTTTAAAAATACCATTTGATTTTATAGTTGAATAGACCATGGAGTTAACGATACCATTTTAGGTGCTTATAAATGAACTGAAACATGTTACTGAGCTTTTTATTTTATTTTATCTTTTTGGCGATACTGGGGATGGAACTTGGTGCTTTGTGTGTGCTAGGTACCCAGTCTTTGATTTTATATTGAGATATAACCTTGCTAAGTTGTCCTGGTTAGCCTCAAACTTGCAGTCTTTCCCCTGCCTCAGTCTCTGAAATAGTTGGGATTGTAAGTGTGGCTGGCCATACTTGGCTATTGCTGAACATACTTTACGAAACCCATTTGAAAGCATTTATGTATTAAACAGTTAAGTGATGGATTAAGAAGGGGATACATTTTGCTTATTGAATTCTGTATGTTACAATACTATGTAATCCCTGAAGAAACTGAAGTAAAGAAAATGATACAGCTAGGAAAAATACAGCTTAATAAAATATAAGCTTTCAGGTTTTTTTCTTTTTCTTTATATATTTGGTACAGGGTCTTACTACACAGCTCAGACTCACAGTGATCCTTCTGTTTCCAGTCTCCTCAGAACTGGGATTATAGGCATGCATCACCATGCCCAGTCTCTGTGGCCAGCTCAGTGTGCCTGGGAGTGGGGCTGGTGTGGCACCAGAGGATTGAACCCCAGTCCCTGCTCTTGCCTAAACAGGTGCTTAGTTTGTTGAGCTATCTTGCCTGACCTAAGCTTTCAGGTTCAGAGAGGAATTTTTCTATTTGAATTTTGAAAAGAGAAAATTATGTGATAGATATAATAGAGGATATGCATTACAAAAATCAAGGTGCAGTTAGCAAATGCAATTTCATAAGAGGCTAAAGTATATTCTTTGAGAAAGTTCTCTGCTAGTTTGGCTTTTTACGTTTCTTTTTTTTGTTTGTTTTTTAAAATTTTATTTTATTTTGAGACAGGGTTTTGCTGTGTAGTACAGGTTGGCCTTAAATTCACTGTGTAGTACAGGCAGTCTCACAGTGACCCTCCTATGCCCTGCTGAGGCAGAAAGATCACCATGAATTTAAGACCAGCCTAAAAAAAAAAAAAAAAAAGACCATTTCTAAACCTGCTCTTCTTTAAGTTTTGAAGTTCCTGATTATCACTGTTTTGTATATGTGTGAGTTAATGTGTATATGTTTTTATTTTATTGGTACATGTTAGAAACACGGTGATCACATTCACTGTACGAAATTTGTACCTCTACATGATGTATCTTGCTTTGTTTTTTTCATTTCCTTCCCTTCCCTTCAACCCTTACCCTTCTTTTGCAAAAGCTTCGTGTCCATTTTTCTCTTCTTTTTTCTTCCCCCAACTCGCCCTTCTTGCTTGAACGTTGCAAAATGGGAAGAAAATGTTCAAATGCTGTTCCTTAATTTGCTTGCTCATACAGTTTAATGTCTAAGATAGAAATAGTTCCACCATGGTGTTAGTTTCATATGCTGGGATCTCTGTATAGAGTTTGGGGAGGTGGGGATAGTTCATGAGTCTGATGAGATTCTGGTATAGTTTCAGCTGTGTATATGTTTGTGATCTTTTCTGGAGAGAAACCCTAGTTTTCCTTAGGTTTTCAAAAGGATGCATGACCACAGGTTTGCAGGAGGGTGTGAGCCTCAAGGCAGTTATTAATTAATGAATGTTATCTTTGCAAGCCAAATTTCTTGCTGTTGAACTGAGGATAGAGTGAATTGCTTGTATGTATACCAAATAATGTCTGGAAAATGCAGGAGGGTACTGACCTTGGTTTTGAGAAAACGGAAACTGGCAACTGAGAAATAGGTGGGAGGGAGAGGCCATCATTTTATACTTTGTGTCTTTTGAGTTCTGAATGATAGGATTCTGTCTTTTCAAAAGATGAGTAAGATTTTGAAAATGAAGGTAATGGGCCGGCTTTGCTCTTTAATGTCTCCAGAGCAAACTCTGTGGAGTCAATTCCATTGCCACCAAAGGAGCAAAGTCAGTTGCTGCACTCCTGTCATTCTAGCATGCTGGGAGACGGAGGCAGGAGGATCACAGGGTCAAACTTAGCTTGAGTAACTTAGCAACTCTGTGACACTCAAATTTAAAAAAGCTAAAAAGGGTTGGGGATATAGCTTTGTGTGAAGGCCCTGGTTTCAATCCCAGTACTACTTAAAAAAATCAAACAAACAAAAAACTTGGAAATTAATCATTTTTAGTTATTTACTTTTTTCTTTTTGGGTGGTCGTGCTACAGCTTAAACCCAGGATCTGCATGCTAGGCAAGTGCTTCACCATCTAGTGACACCGAGCCTGAGCACTCATATTCTTTTTTTTTTTTTTGCGGAACCGGGGATTGAACTCAGATCCTTGCGTTTGCTGGTCAAGCGCTTATCCTACTGAGCCATCTCCCCAGCCCCTCATATTCTTTTTATTTTATAGCCTTTAATGTTTATTTATTTTCTGTATTTAGGGAAAGGTCTACAGGGTGTCCAGGGTCTCACTACTTAGATCAGACTCTTAGTGATTCTCCTGTTTACAGCCTCTGAAGAGCTGGGATTACAGGCATGCGCCACCATGCCCAGTCTCAATTGCCATCTCAGTGCACACTTGTGGTGGGGCTGGCACTGCAGGCCCGGGGATTGAACCTCCAGCCCGTGTCTGCCTAAGCAGGCACTTTAATCCACTGAGCTATTTGGCCGGCCCATCACCCATATTCTAAACCTGGCACATAGTTTTTCCCCAAGTCACCTGATCATCGCAACCAGTTACATTATTTCAGTCTGTTTTTTTCAGTAGTAAAAACTGAACTTGCAAGGTGCTTATGTGGATTAAATTAAATAATATATGTAAGGTATCTAGCAAAAATGATTAGTTGTTATTCCTCAGTGTACATTTTTCTCTTACAGGGAATCTGAAGATACAGTGTTGCTGGTCCTCAAAGAAATCTACCAAACCCAGGGGATTTTCCTTGATCAGCCCTTACAGTAAAAGGGCCCTGTTTTGGCTACTTAATGTAAGCATTTGGTGTCACACACAGGATCGTGCTTACATAACATGTTATAGAGAACCATGGAGCCTCCTGCTCTGTGTAAATACACCTTTCTGTGGCCGGTGACCCAAATCCAGGCCGTTACTCATTTTCCAAGGGATGGGGGAAATGAGTAACACACTTAGAGGAAGGTTTTGTCCTGTGACATCTGTTGTCTTCTAGGATTTGATCTCAGAACCTTACTAGGCACGATCTGCTGCGGGTCAGCATGGTGGCAGTCAGCACCTGAGACAGACTAGAAACACTGAGCGTGTGTGCTGGCCTGGCCTGTTCTGGCTGCTGTCAGATGTGCCTGCGTGGTGACCTCTCCCACCCTTCCTGCTCCTCAGATGCGTGTGGGCTGCATGTTGCCTGCCACTTCCTCATCTTTGAGGTCTTGAAAACTGATGTTTCTTTTTGGAATGAGCAGAAAACCCAAGGGAAGACTCTAGCACCTGGGGGGTGTTACTGGGTATTGAACCCAGGGCCTTCACGCTAAATTACATTCCTAGTTCTTTTTTATTTTTGAATTTTGAGGCAGAATCTTGCTAAGTCATAAGTAGCTCAGGCTGGGCTTGAATGTGCAATACCTCAGCCTCCAAGAGTGCTGGGATATTACAGCCTGTGCCACCATGCCCAGCTCTTAGTTTTTACCGTTGGCTTCATGTGAACCTCTTCATAACCAGGAGTGGTTGGTCCCTAAGACTGTGATGATAAATCTCTAGAAAATGTTCCAACCTAGGAGTAGATGATTGAGACTAACAAGACATTTGAGGGTGTTCTCATTTCTAGGGTTTTCTGGAACCAAAGGCCAAGTCTAAATAGATATGGGAAGGATCTTTGGGTGATTTTTTTGAGATAGCATTTCTTTTCTGCGTATACTGTATAAAGAAAGATTATTAAGAGGATCCTTTACTTACAACTGACAGACTCTTCCTAGGAATCACTGATGCTGCTCATTGCTTCACAACTGTGAGCTACTGTAAGGCTGAGTAGGACTCACATCTTGGTAAAACACAGTATTGTGTAGCACAGACCTGCCCTTCATCCCATATTCCCAGCGGGGGACTCTTGGGAGAGTGGTTAGAGTTCCCTTAGTCATTTGATGAGTTGTTTTTCCCCCCAGTATCAGGATCAAATCCAGGGCCTCTGCACTGAGCCCCAACACCAGCCCTTTATGTTTCATATTGATGTAGGGTCTCATGAAGTGGCCCAGCCTGGGCATGAACTTGTGATCCTCCATCATCAGCCTCCCAGAGTGCGGAATCACAGAAGCCACCATAGCCGACTAACAACCTGTCTTCTTACGCTGAAGATAAAGCTGTAGTGGTGAGGAATTGGAAATGAATAGTTGTTACAGGATGCTTAGTTTGTAGATCTTTTAGTGGTGCCTTTATGGTGAAAAATTTAAATCATCTGACATTTCACTAGGATGAATGTGTTGTGATTTCTCTTTGAAGCTATTTTGTAGGGCAGAAGTGGTGGTGCCCTGCTGAGGCAGGAAGATCACAAGTTGGAGCCCAGTGCATGCCAACATAGTGAGGCCTTTCTAGGTCAGTGCAGAGGCCCTGGCTCAAGTCTCCAGAAATGCACAGATGCACACACAGGTGAACACTGCTGCTTTCTTAGGCGCTGGGATCCAGAATGCTTATTTCACATGTCCTTGGCCGAGGCTATGCTACTTGAGCAGGAGGTTTAGCTGGGGAATTACTTATTGTGAAAGAGTAACCTGTACCTACAGGGGCCAAGGGGCAGCAGCTAGTCACTGTCCGTATGTAGCCAGCAAAGTGCAGTTTCCCTTAAAGAACCTGGCTGTGGCCTAATTCTTGCCAAGACATTGCCTTTGCTGTTGATATTTTCTTTCCCATGGATCAGCACGTGTCATCTTGATAGGTCTGTTGAGGGGAGTCTTGCTCCCTCCCAATTTTGACTGGCCCTTGCTTAATGCCTGGTGTGTGTGTGTGTGTGTGTGTGTGTGTATTGTGATCTCCAGTGCAGGCATATGTCCTATTCATTGAAGTCATCTCTTGGACAACAATGAAGGAAAAAGGGTGATGTCTCAGTGGGTGGGGTTCAGGTTAAGCCTGGTCTTCCTCACTGTGCGCTTGGACTAATGCCAAGGGTAAGCCTCCGAAATGTCACAGGTACATGAATACAGTATGTGGACTACTTTATCATGTAACTGCTGAGTGAAATACATATTAAGGGTAAATCCTTTCTTGAGTTCCTGTCTTTTAATTTTACATTTACTCTTCATATTAGCAGAATAAGTACTATCGGGGCTGGGGAGATGGCTCAGTAGAATAAGCACTTGCCTGGCAAGTGCAAGGGCCTGAGTTCAATCCCTAGTCCTGAAAAAAACAAAAAACAAAACTATTTCAGAGTAAACCAAAAGATAACCAAGAAATGAATCCCTGTAACCAAAGATTGACAGCCTGACCCCAAGAGCTAGGTGAGCCGCTGTACTGAGACGTGTTCTGCCAGGCCGTAATCCTGACTCTTGGGGGGTTCAAGCAGGGAGGATCACTGTGAGGTTGAAGCCAGCTCAGGCCACACAGTGAGTTCAAGGCCAGCCTGAACTATGTAGTGAGACCCCGACTTAAACAACAACAAAAAGCAGTTTCTTACCTTGTGGTAAGAAGCGGTAACTGCAAATGCTTTTTCTGTCACCCAGCCACCTACAGAAGCATGGCTATATTAGCAGGGTAGGAAGCCTGAGGGAAACCCTTTATTTACTTGGATGTTATTTGCACTGCTTCCCCTGGACCATGTGCAATCTCTTAGCCAAGCCTCATTTTAAACTCCAGTGCAGCATCATTTTGTCTATATTCCTAGCGATGTAACTAGTGCTGCTTATTTCAGCAAAAGGTGGTTTGCATGGAAAGATTAATAGCACTGATTAGCTTTCTAATACTTTGCACTTTGGAAATGTTTGTTTTTTACATGAGTATATTTAAAACTTTGGTAAATAATGAAATAAAATTGTACTGACCAGTTGCCTACTTGTACCTGGCCTCATGTATCACAGAAAGGATTAATATAGTTAACTATTTTCTCATATATTATTAAAATGAGCTTAGGAAATAAATTTTGGTTAAAGAATATTCAAGTTTTTCCTCTTTACTACTGTTCTTACTGTCATAGGTGGGGATAGTTTTGAATGTGAAGTTTGGCAGCTTTCAGGTGAGCGGAGTGACCCTTGGCAGGTATGAACATCACCTAGCAGACTGGGTGACTGCAGTTGTGTTGCCTGTGGCAGGTGGGCAGGCTGGTGCTTCTCCAGCCATCCATGGTGTCCAAAGGACACAAGACACAGTCACCATTTCATTGCCTGGCACACTTACCGAAGGGTAAGTAATGCATTAAAGATGTTATAGGAAGGTGTACGTAGAAATGGCTTTGAAATGTAAGAAAGGAAACTATAAGATCCTATGGTGTCCTATAAAGGGCAGACAGGAATTAATTTATACTCCACACGATAGCTGTTTTTTTCTCTCCTGCCTTAGGTGGCAGAGTTGAATTTGGGCAAGGAGCTCGTGAGCACAAGGACAGAGGAGATAGAAACAATCACTTGTTGGTGGTATTGAAACCACACTTCACCATTTTCTTTTTTTTTAACCATATTCTTCTTAGTTCAAAAATTGTCTTTGCTCATATTATTCAAAATAGCAACACTAGATGGCTGGACTCAGATTAAGATACACACAGCAGTGGTAAATTAGCCAGAACTGGACATTTTCCTATTGAAGGCTTTATGGAATTTTCACCAGGGAAAGTAAACAGAAGCAAAAGTCATGACCTAGATTTTTAAGATGTCAAATTATGAGAAGCAGAAATTAAGTCTGGTAAATAACTCTAGCTCCCAGGACACAGTAGGTCTCTAAGAGATGGCCTTCCAGGAGCCGCACTGAAATTCAACTGGAAAGCACTGGCTGCTGGGATGCGGCTTGGTGGAGCAGTACCCTCAGCTCCACTAAACAGCTCACATCCTTGCCCGGGAGGTGGCATAGCTGCCAACGAGGTAGAAGAGTGTGTGGCTGTGTCCGCCCTGGTACCTTGGGGGGTGGGGAAGAGTGTGAAGCCCAGTACTTCTTGTCTGTACACAGTTCTCTTAGGAAAACTAGTGGACATTCTCCACCAAGGCAGGCTCAGCTTTTAAATGTCCAAACAGCAAGAGTCACCAGGCTTCCTCTGTGAAGCGTGAAGCACATGCCTGTCTTGGAAAGGTTTGTGACACTCAGCATCCGTGAGAGGAGGGTAGTACTGTCTGTAGCACACGTAGGCCAGTGTCGTGCCCAGCAGGGACCCCACTAGCACATCTGTGGAGACAGAAAGTGAGAGATGTTTTCAGGCATTATGGGGTCCTGCCTCACATGGGCACTGCAGAACACCTGCCCTCCACCCCACCCCATTCACCCCAGACCTATGGCTGCTTCCAGCTTTTACCATTCTGTCTCACAGGCTTATCATTGTCCTCTTAAGTGCCAAATCAAAACTTCTCAGTGGACCAAATTAGTTTTTAGTCCAAAAGATTGATACAAGTTCATTTAATGTTACTATCCACTGACCTGTTACCACATCAGGAGTCCTAAGTAGAAACTCTTCAGGAATTATCTGCCAATTTATTCTTCGTTATGTGATGTTTTTTGTTGTTTTTTTTGCGAAACCGGGGATTGACCTCAGGACCTTGCGCACTTATGAGGGAAGCGCTTATTCCACTGAGCCATCTCCCAGCCCCCCCCAGGATTTTTTTTTTTTTTTTTCTGCGAATGCCTTCAGGGCAGGTTTGGCTTGCTTGAGTTGTGGGGTCGAACCACAGCAGCCTGAGCCTGATTACTTTGTTGAAGCAGCCACTTAACAACTGAGCTAAGAGGCAGGCCCCCTGCCATGTTTATTCTTATAAAACGTGACTCCTGGGGACCTCTAGTTGTATTGTCAAATTTTCTCAACTTACATGGCTTTTCTTTGAAGGCTTTTGTAATTTGTTTTTCTTTTTCTTTCTTTCTTTTTTTTTTTTGTAATTTGTTTTTCTATAGTAATCAACTTAAAGTCTCCAGTTCAATTATAATTTTACATGTTCTTGAGTTTTTGTTTCTAAACAAATCTTATGACAAGTAATGTTTAAGAGAGAAAAGTGAGGGGCTGGAGAGACGGCTCAGTGGTCTGAAGCACCTACTTGGAACAGGCTTAGCAAAGCATCAGGGACCGCGGTTCGGTCCCCCAGCACCACATGCCAGCCAGCCCCGCCCCCTGGTGGGCTGAGCTGGCCACACACAC